GTTAGCAATAAAACTCCCCGAGCATCACGAATGAAATGAGGGAAGCTTTTTCATTTCAAATGCACTTTCTTAAGTAACCGGTAATTTTACATGAAACTGATTCTGTGGGATGAAGAAAGGATACGTTTTTAGAATAAATACTAAACTTCTGAATACATCGTAGTTGCCGCTATGAAAACTGATAACGCGAGCTACATCTCTGAGCAAAAAACTTTCAATTTCGCTTAGTAGAATCTCTGGAAATCGAAAAAGTGAGCAACTGCCACGTTTTGGCGCCGTTTCCGCTTGTGATTGAACTTTTCGCAGTTTTTTGAGTTGCTGGGGAAAATTTTGCGGATTTGTATGCTGAACATATTCATAACTTTTCAAAAAGTTTGTGTACTGACCTACTTTTAGGCTGAAAAGAAAAGTGGATCCGTTTGACGTGTGATTTTCGAAGGATCCGCTAAACGGATCCGTTCAAGCTTTGGTATAGTGGACCTACGTGCCGGGGACAGACGCTGTGCAAAAATTGGGCTCAAGATATTGGCTGGCAACCATTTTACGAATTTCGTGACAAACAGACAAACTTACACACAGACAAAAACACGCAAACAACCCTTAGCCCGTTATTATAAGTTATGATAGTTCCCGAGAAATATCGAATTTAGCTTTCCTCACTCGCATTTTTTATGCTTAACTCAACATTTCTCGGAAACCAAGGCAGATAGAGAGCTAGAAATTAAGGCTGCACTTTTAAAGGCTTGTATTATACAGCTGTAAGAACAGCGCAGCATCACTTTGGTAAAAACATGGAAATTTTCGGTTTCTTGATTTCTAGCTAATAAAAAAATACGGCAATAGCACGTATGATTTTTGATGTGGAGTACATATGCGTAAGCGAGTGAGAGATCTGCAGGACTCTCCTAAACGAAATTATGAAAAATTTTCAATTTTGTGGGCTTCCGAAACATTTTAGATTTTGGTTTTAAACTTGAGATGGGTAGAAGTTGGTGCAAAAGCATAAACGCCATCTTATAGAGCTTGTTCTACCATATACCTTTTATCCTAATGTCTACTTTGAATAAGAACTGTATGACTATCATGACTTATAATAAAGCGCGCATGTGTGTGTGTGTGTGTGGTGTGTGTGTGTGTGTGTGTGTGTGTGTGTGTGTGTGTGTGTGTGTGTGTGTGTGTGTGTGTTTATGTCTGTCTCTCACGAAATTCATGGAGGGAGCTACAGAATACGTCCTAAGATGAAGTTTCGCACAGTGTACGCTGGCTGCGTCTAGGCCCACCCCACGCAATGGCAAACGGATCTGATGCACGGGACCTTCGAAAATGGCGTTTGGAGCGGGTCCACTTGGCTTTTGGCACGCAAAACTAGGTCGCTAATTCAACTTTTTGCAAATTCATGATTTGCCTGACCGGTAAACCTGTGCCCCATGAATTCTAGCCCGAAACGTGCCCAAAAAGTTTGCTTTTCTGCGAAAACAGCGACAAAAAGTGGTGATCGTGTAGATAGTCGATTTGGCAAGGTTTTACCTTGGAATTTGGAAAGATTTTTGCACGGGATTGTAGTCCAAAGTGACTACTATCCTTCTGGCGACAACCAAGCCAAAACAAATTGAGTAATCCATTCAAATTCGCATTTGTTTCTTTGCAAAAATGATTTTCTTTTCAAAATTACCGATCTTACGTGGAGATGCTTCAAGAATGAACAGCTGTTTACGATTCATTTGTGATGTAGAGCATCGCTTGGTGAATTTCAAAGTCATAATTATGCGAGCATGAGAAAGGCATAAAGATAAGAGAACCAGTGCGAACCTCCGCGAAGCGAAGGTGATGCACTGGTTTCGAATAAGAACTGTATGACTTGTTACAGCGAAAACTCAAAAATGGAAAGGCACAAGGGACAACCTAATACAACATCAGGAACGTGACTACTGAAGAAGAAATTTGAGCCGAAGTTGTTGCCAACTTGAAGAACAAGTATCCAGATATCTTCAGGAAACAACTAAGGAAATGTGAGAAGAGCAAGACTAGGTTAGTCTTGAAAAAAGATTGTCCCAATCTTCAAGAAGAAGAGGCCAGTACCGTACGCCATAGCACCGGAACTGGAGTCAGAAATTGACTGATCGGTAACCGAAGGAGTTATTTCTGCTGTAGAACACTCGGAGTGGGCACCACCAGTAATCGCCGTCATAAAGAAGAATGGCAGGATTCGTCTATACGCCGACTTCTCGACGGTACAACGATGCAGCTGCATCAGCACCCGTTGCCCACAGCAGGGGATGTGTTCACCAAGCTTAATGGATGCCAGCTCTTCACTCAGCTCGATTTGGCTGAGGCAAATTCGAGGGTGGAAGTTCAGGAAGCATTGAAGGAGATGCTGATTATCAGTACGCACAAGGGATTGTATCGCTACAATCGTCTACCCTTCGGAGTGAAATTGGCTCTAGGTATATTCCAGCAGATTATGGATTCCATGATAAGTGGGCTTGATGGAGTAGCCGCTTTTCTTGATCATCATTATCACTAGAAGGAGTTATGAGGAACATCGCCAAAACTTGGAAGCCTTGCTCAAGCGAACCAAGGACTACGGAATCCATGCTAGGCTAGAAAAATGCGACTATCTGACGCCAAAGATTTGCTACTTAGGTTGCACATCGACAAAAATGGACGCCGGCCGAACCCAAAGAAGATCGAGGTCATTCAACAGATGCCAGCTCCGAAAAACATAGTGGATGTACGATCATTCCTCGGCATAATCAACTACTATGGATTGTTTGTAGCAGAGATGCGCCAGCTTCGTGCATCCTTGAACGCATTGCTCAAAAACGACGCGAGGTTCTAATGGACAGAGGAATGTCAAAACGCATTCAGCGTGCCAAAGAGGTTTCAGCCTCGGATCTACTCCTCACACATTTCGATCCAAAATTGTAGATAGTGGTAGCTGCCGACGCATCGGACTACCGAATCGCGGCTGTGATTCTGCACAAGATGCCGGATGGTACAGAGGAGGCTATTTGCCATGCAAGTCGAAGCCTCCAGAAAGGAACTATGGACAAATTAAAAAGGAAGGAATAGCACTGGTGTTCGCGGTTCGTAAGTTCTATCGGTATATGAACCACGGTTCAGATTGCTTACCGATCACAAGCAGCTACACATTTTTGGACCCAAGAAGATGGTGCCTGTGTTCACAGCGAACAGCTTGCAACGATGGAAGCTCATTCTACTCGCATACGACTTCGGCTTGGAGTACCGCAAGAAAACGACAGAATTCGGACAAGCCGATGCACTATCTTGACTGACCCCTCCAAAGCCATTGCAGACCGAAGACGTCGTTATAGCAAAAATAGAAAATGTGTGCGAGCCGTTCAAGCTGCTGCTGTACGAGCATTACCAGTAGCCCGAACAAAGATAGAAGAAGAATTTTGCAAGGACGAAACCATTGCGCAGATCATACGAATACTGCAATCACGAGCATGGCTGTCCAAGCCGAAAGGAGAAGTTGGAAACTGGAGAGCACTGGGCGAGAGTTTATCAGTGCAAAACGGATGTATATTTTGATCAGAGAATGATCATTCCAGTTTCGTTGCGCCAAGAGGTTTTGAAGCAGTTACACGAGGGACACCCTGGAATGACAAGGATGAAGATGCTCGCGAGAGGATTTGCATATTGGATGGGCATCAACAAAGACATTGAAGAGTCAGTGCGCCGCTGTAGGGACTGTCAAGAAGCAGCCAGGATGCCACTGAAGTCTGTACAATACCGCTATAATTCGTCAAAAAAGTCGCCGGACTGCGGCGCACTCCGCCACACTCCGCCACAGTGCGCCGGAGTGTGGCAGAGTGCGCCGGAGTGCGGCAGAGTGCGCCACACTCCGCCGCAGTGCGCCGGAATGATCGTCAATTTAGCCATATCTCGCTTCAGAATGGACGAATTCTGAATCCGAGGACACCGTTCGATTCAGCTCGACGAGACGCATCATCTTATTTATGAAGCTAAACGTCTGTTTGTCTGTTTGTCTGTACGTATGCTCCGAATGGAAAAATCCATTTCTAAACCGATCCGGACCAAACTTGGCACACATACACTTCGGGCTCCGGCGGGTGTCATAGGCTACTTTTCGTCATCGATCGATATCGATTTTACCGATTTTTATCGATTTTTTGCAAAGTTCACCTACGGGGCTGGGAGTGTCGAGAAACTCGACCGATAAATTCTATAATTTCTGTTACGATTATTGACTTTTGATTGCCATGAAATGTTGAGTGCGCGACCAGTCCTTTCTTTGTACGGCTGCAGCTGCGCCAAGCATCTAGCAAAAAAGGATGGTCGTCGCAGCTGGCGACCTCCTCTTCGCATTCTTGACTTAAGTGTCATTTAGTTATCATCGTTTCAGCTCATTTAGCCGTGCCTTATAGTTACTCTCACTTACATTGCCTTTATTTGCTTTCAGCTCAGTTAGACTAAAACATATCAATCATTTTATGCCTAACGTGTGCCATAATCAGAATCTCATAATATGCTGGTAGTATATTCGCTTGAAATATCGTTTGTTTAATGTTTATATTTGTCGATAAAGGTTTAATTACCCAAGTTTGAGGTATCTCCTCGAGCACAACTCCGTCGCTCTAAAGACCCGCGTGGCAGTTGATATTTTGTTGGCGTTCAAGTGGTATTCGACGGTTATAGTACTGACTATATATAGGACCCGTCCATTTGTTACATGGTGCATCGACTACACGGATTCAGGTCGGTAAAGTACAACAATTGATTCGTTGTGGACATTCTGGAACATACACTAGAGCTTTTGCTGTATCCGCTCTAGTTTGCTGTCTTCAAATCTCGGAACAACACAAGAGTTTTTGCCTGATCCGCTCTTGTCACATCAATATCGACAATTTGAACAATTTTTCGCACAAGACTGACCATTCCTCAAGTATCATATCTACTGAAGTCTGAAAACTTTTCGTGTCTGTCCTGAAGCATTCTTGGTCCTGCAATTGATTATGGCTGCACATTTGATCACGGACAAACGCCTTTTGACTCACTATTGCAGCAAGCTGGACACTATCATCTCAAGATTCAAGGGAGAGGAACTTGAGACCCTTAACGTAGCCGCAGCGCAAGGAGAATCAGCTTCTCAATACACAAGGGAAAGTCTCCAGCGACTCAGCGAAGCAATAGGAGCTTTAGATGCAGTGACGCACAACATCAAACAAACAATGACGGACTATGCTACCAAATTTACGGAGCTGGACTACCCGACGGAAAAGGACAAACAAGACTTTGAGGAATACTCAGCAAAAGCGGAAAAAGCGCTCATTTCGGCCACGGATTACTCACTAGTGCTGAAGGCAAGGGTTCACGCTTTCACTGTGGTTAAAGCAGAGCCAGAGCACAACCAACACAGTGGATCAGTCCAGGTACCAACGCCATCACAGCCTCCGCATGAAAGGTTGGATCTTCCCACACTTCCCGTACCTATATTTCAAGGAAACATATGGGAGTGGGACAATTTCTGGGAACTGTTCAACGAGAATGTCCATTCAAGAAATATACCGGAGTTGTGCAAATTCAATTATTTACTGCAACCTCTTCGAGGGGATGCTCTCGCACTAATCAAGAAGTTCCAAGTCGCCAAAGGAAATTATTCGAAAGCCATCGAGTTTCTTCAACACAAGTACGGTGATCGCGACGAACTCGTCACGCATCTTATTGAAAAACTCGGGAAGTGCCACCTGCACTCGGCATCCATTCGTGACCAGCGAACACTCTTCGAGCAGCTGCAAGTCATCATCATGCAGCTGCGACAGAAAGAAGTACAAGTGGACAACCAGTGGATGTACCAGCAAGTTCTGACGAAATTCCCGGATACGGTACAGCGCAAAGTACTAGTACGCAAACAAGCCGCAAAGAACTCTGGAGTCAGCTTCAACCTCGACCTGCTTATACAGTATCTTGAGGAAGAAATCTCCACAGACGAAATGCTTGCGGTATACATGAAGAACACCAAGCCGGACCCAACACCTACTAAGCCGGAGAAAAGACGATGTGACCGAACAAAAACGTACTTAGGGACTTGCATGTATTGTGAAGGAAGCCACAAGTCAGCCGATTGCAAAAGATACAGTACTCCACAAGAACGCTCCAACTACCTACGCGAGAACAAGCTCTGTCTCATATGCGCCTCAGCACAGCATTCAACTGCTAATTGCAAGAAGAGAATGTGCTTCAGGTGCGGAGGACCACACCACACATCATGCTGTTTCAGAGGTGACACTACGGCAGACCAAGGAGCGTCAAGGAAGACAAGTCCACCGTTGAGCGAAGGGAAAAAACCCAAAGCCCGAGATACGGAACGAAACCCAACGCATAAAGAAGCAAGAAAGATAAACGCCCTCCATGAAGACAACTCCGAAACTGAAGCTGTGTCTGCACTGGATCTGCAACCAGTACACAAAACTAGAAGGTTGAGCAGAACTTTCCTTCCTGCAGGAATACTTACAGTGATGAATCCTACTACGAAGGCGCTGAAAAAAGTTGGAGTGCTTTTGGACAGCGGAGCAGAGGTGTCTTTCATTGAAAGCTCTTTGGCGAATGAACTGGAACTTCCCACAATCGAGACTACAAGGCTCCCGATTCACACCTTTGGCACAGAAGAAGTGAAGGAAAATCTATGCAGGCGCGTGCTCCTCCAAGGATGGGACTCAGAAGGACACACTCTTGATCTGAAGCTCTTCACCCATGATGTACTGACCGCGCCACTAGACCGTGCTCCCTACAGAAAAGAAGACCTAGATTACATGAAAGAGCAGAACATTCTGATGACAGATTGGCAGAACAACACTACAATACAACCACGAATTTTATTAGGTTGCGATCAGTTGTGGCCATTGATCAAGGAGAATCAGCCAAGTGTCTGCCTGCCATCAGGACTTTACCTACTTTCTACTCGTCTAGGGAACTTGATCACAGGCATTATCACAAAGCCCCAAGAAAAGTTACTTCAGAAAGACGAGACGGCAAAGTGGGAAGCTGCGTGCACAATGGATGGCAAAATCAGTATACTAACGGTGCAGACGCCTATAATACAAGCAGGCGAGGACGAAGACTCCTTTGAGAAGTATCTCGTCATGGAGTTCGCAGGAACGGAGGAATTCATGAGCTCTGAAAAAGTAGCGCAGGAAAAAATCGATCAGCAGGTTTGGAACCAATTCAAAGAAACCATCGAAAAAAGAGAAGATGGTTACTACGTGCGCTTACCATGGAAGTCAATACCATTTGAGCTCCCGGACAACAAGGCCATCGCACTGCGAAGACTAGAAAGCGTTTGGAACACTTTGCGGAAGGACGAAAAACTGCTGGAACAGTACAACGAAGTCTTCGAAGAACAACTCAAAGCAAACATACTGGAAGAAATACTAGAAGACTCCGTCGCTTTGGGAGAACACATTCATTATGTCCCCCACCAGGCAGTGATTACCCCGCAAAAAACGACTACAAAACTGCGGATCGTGTTCGATGCTTCAGCGCATTACAAAGCCTCACCTTCGCTGAACGACGTGTTACACAGAGGGCCAGTCATACTTCCACAACTCTATGGCCTCCTGTTACGTTTCCGAATAGGAAAAATCGCAATAATTTCGGACGTGGAAAAGGCATTTCTACAAGTGCGACTTCATGAAGCTGATAGAGATGCTACCAGATGTCTGTGGCTACGAAACCACAGATCACCACCTACCTCGGAAAATATCAAGACCCTCCGATTCACACGCGTCACCTTCGGCCTCGTCACGTCACCCTTTTTGTTAGCGGCAACGACACATTTTCACCTCGACCAATATCCCGAAGATCGGCTTCTCACAACGGAAATCAAGGAGAATATGTACGTCGATAATCTCATGATGACGGCCGACACCGAAGAAGAGGCGAATCATATTTACCAACGAACCAAAAGAATATTCAACGATCTGAAGATGAATCTCCGTGAGTACGTGACCAACAATGTTAACGTCGCATCAAAATTCGACACGAAAGACGCATCTTCGGAAATCAAGCCCAAAGTCCTGGGTATCAGGTGGAACTCCCGCGAAGACACCATAGAAGTTTCATGTGCAATGGAAGATCATTCGGAGGTATCTAAAAGAAAGGTAGCCAGCATGATTGCTTCAGTTTACGACCCAATGGGATGGATGCTTCCTTTGATGCACAAAGCAAAGCTTTTCTTGCGAGAGCTATGGCAGATGAATTGTGACTGGGATACGCCCTTGCCGCCTGACCTCCACAAGAAATGGAAGAAGATTTGCAAAACCATGCATGGTTTTACAAGAACTCTGCCACGCTTCGTCTGTACAAGAATGATGGATGCTATTCTCATAACGTTCGCCGACGCAAGCGAGGAAGCCATCGTAGCATGCAGTTACTTGCGACTAAGATCCAATTCCACGCACCTTTTGATGGCAAAAGGGAAACTTCCTTCACTCAAAGGAAAATCGACTATACCGAAACGAGAATTGGATGCAGTGACATTGGCGTTACGAATAACGAACTCAATCTTAGCACAATTGCGGTCCGTGCTACAAGTCAATCAAGTCTTCGTATTCTCTGACTCAGAGATCGTGCTAAGCTGGATAAAAAAGAACCCGTTGAAGGACGTTGGACCAGTGGTATTCCGAAGGCTGCTTGAGATAAACAAGATTTTGAAACATCTCAATGACCAGGGATACACAATTCATTTCAACTACGTCACGTCCGAAGATAATCCAGCAGACGCAGGCACAAGAGGACTGAATCTTGAAGAACTGCAAAACCACGTGTGGTGGACAGGTCCGGAATTTCTCCAAAATCCACCGCAGCAATGGTCACAAAGCGATTGGCACGTCGTAATGAAATGCACCGTTAACGAAGGAGAGGAAATTCTAGTGAAGGAAAAACAAGTTCTTGCCTCCAGGACGGTCGAATATTGCCAAAGCAAAGAAGACTCGGCTGTGCTATCCTTATTGCAGCGACGCACATGGCAGCAAACAAGGCGCATTGTAGCCTGGATCCTCCGTTTCGTCAGGAATGTCGCAGGCCAGGCAAGTGCCAACAACCAGTCACCCATATCACTATCTATGCTACTTTCCGCACCGAATAACGCTGTGGGAACAAGGCTAAACGGAAAGGAGATACTTATCGCAGGAAAGCTGCTCATCAGACTTCATCAACAGCAAATAACCTCAAAAGTCATTAACTCCATGCAGCAACTGAACATCAAAAAAGATGCCGAAGGCCTCCTTCGATGTTATGGACGACTGGGAAACAGCGACCTAGATGATGAAGCCAAAATTCCGTTGATCATCCTACAAAACTCGAGGTTGGCGGAAAGAATCATCGACGACTGCCACGGCAGAGGGCATCTATCCGTAAGCCATACTATGGCGAACATACGTCGACAGTATTGGATACCAAAACTGCGAGCACAGGTTACGCGGTTTGTGAGGCGATGTATACCCTGCCAAAAGTTCAACAATCTGCCTTATAAGTATCCAGAGCAAACGGATCTTCCTGCAAGACGAGTGCAGAAATCTAGACCATTTAAGCACGTCGGATTGGACTACTACGGACCCTTGCCAATTGCACTACCTGATGGAACAGAGGGTAAATGCTACGGAAGCATAATCACATGTATGACAACAAGATTAATCCACTTGGACATAGTCTCCGATATGTCAACAACAGCCTTCCTCTGGATGTTGCGGCGCTTCTTTGCAAGAAGGGGAATTCCACGATCAATCACCAGTGATAACGCTCCCACGTTCATGCTAGGAGAAACTATACTCAGAGAAGCGATTCAAGCTGCCGAAAGCGATCCTGCTATTGAGCGTGAAGTACTCGACAAGGAAATTGAATGGCATTACAACACTCCATACGCACCGTGGCAAGGAGGCTTCTACGAACGTCTGATAAAGTCCGTAAAGCAAACACTGTACAAAACTCTGGGCAAATGCGTGCTAAGCTTCGAAGAGCTAACTACGGTTACCATTGAGATCGAAGCGATCTTGAACACGAGACCCCTGTTATACGTGGAATCAGAATTCGGAAACGAAAAGATATTAAGGCCGATCGACTTCTTACAAAATGAGATGAGGATCTCTTATCCACTGGATGCGGTAAATGATGAAGGAGAGGATCCGTCTTACTTGCCACCAGCTGAGAAAGCCTTGCTTCGTACAAAGGCGCAAGCAGTCCAAGCCTTGCAATCTTCTTGCAAACTGACCGAGAAATTTTGGCAGCTGTGGCGAAATCACTATTTGACAGCCCTCCGAGAAAAACATCAACGTCAAGTAGGAAGTCAAAGAAGTTCGAGCTATACTCCGAAGGTCGGCGAAGTTGTCTTGCTGTGTGATCCAGTCCAGCCAAGATATGCCTGGAAAGTCGGACGGATAGAAGAACTTGTCAAAAACACCGAAGGAGTTGTGAGAGAAGCTCTGGTGAAACTTCCATCTCAAAGAAGAATTCGCCGGCCGCTTAACCTTCTTGTACCACTAGAATTAGAAGAGGGGGATCAACAAGCGCAAGAACCCACTACTGCAATTACCGACAGTAGCAATGAACAAGAGGAAGCACACCCCTCGCGATACGATCTGCGACCTCACCGGAGGGTGGATTACAAAGGAATGAACGCGATGCCAATACAAGTCAAACACTTCCAAACGAACGCGCTCCTACTGATCTGTCTTCTGAGCGCATTTTGCGGAAATGCGAATGCATTGGCGAGGGTACTAGCGAAGAAAACACATTCAATTAAATGCATTCCAGGAGGAGTTGAGTTGCTTTCCATGGAGACTGTCCCATATGAGGTCTGTGCGGAAGACTATTGCAAATCAATTTCAGCGCCAAAGACAAATGAAACTATCCATTTTCCGCCACAAGTAACGCTCTATGCACAGTTTGTCCAGTGGAAACTTCTGTACAATGAAACGATCAGGATAATAGAAACTACCTGCCCGCCAACTCCGTTCTGCGACCAGATCGATTGCATACTCTGTTCAGCGGTCATTTTCAATCCTGAATGCTGGCCTGTTGGAGCGATCGTAGCGACTACAATAGCCATCTACTTCTTCATAACTGGATGCTACGTATTCTGCTATGTGCCGCTCACGCTCGGGAAGCCATGTCGGATCGCATTACGCCTTTTGTGGAACGGCATCAGGAGCATTGTTCGCAGTGGGTGCCGACCTTTACAACGAGCACGAAAACGACAGCAAATCCGAGCATCGGAACTTATAGAATTACTTGCTATTGTCGCCGTAATGAGCATGACAGTCGGTACAGCAGAAGGATGTCAATTAGTGAATCTCTTCTCGCACAAGTCTGCCGTGTGCACAAAGGCAAATGGAACCGAGATTTGCAAGATTCACGTGTCGGAAGTCCTCAAAATCAACCCTTTCAAAAGAGAGGCATGTTTCAGGATAATAAAGAACAATTCGACTATCCATGAGGTTAGGGCATCGTGGAAACTGCTCAGTCTTGCCTGTGAACAAGAGCACGAAATGTACACTCGCGACACTGTCTACAATGTGGTGGACAGCAAAAGATGCCCGCACACAGGCTCCTGCGTAGGGAGCAAATGCGCGTCGATAAACGCCACAAGCCTCATACCGGAGCTAGAGAAAGGGAATCACTATCCAGGAATCACGGCCTGTGTCGAATCCTGTGGAGGACCAGGGTGCGATTGTTTCTATTGGAGTTCAGGCTGCCTTTTCTATCGCATCTACCTCACCCCAGTATCCCCACAAGTATTCGAAATTTTCCACTGCAATCGCTGGACGTTGGCAGCCAAAGTCAAGTTCACAGACTTTGATGCAATACAAGGAGTGACACGCATATTTACGGCAATCATGGTTCCCAATGTACCCATCATCTGGAACGCGTTCACTCTCACACTAACCTCGGTAACCATCCCACCAATTCCGCTGCTAAACACGGCCTTCATCACCGATGGGAATAACACGGCACTTTGGAACTCCGTGATGAAACCACCTCTTTGGTGCACCAACAAAACTGCCGCAGAACAATTGGACTGCACAGTTGTAGACAACTGCCAATGTGCTCCAGCGGAAGTCCAAGCCAACTGCAAATGTCAAGACGTAAGCATCCCTGAGATGTTTGGGGACGTCAGAAATCGCCTACCGGCAATATTTCCAGCGGTTTCATTCAAGCAAGATGACGAAGGACAAGTAAAAGCTGAGGTACAGAGCCTAACGACAGCAGAGATCATCGTAACCATCCAAGAAAATGTACGAACAAATGTGGTGGTGGATAGCACAGTCTGCACAATCGCGGATGCAATTCTAACAGGTTGCTACAAATGCGCCAGGGGCGCAAAAGCTACAATCAAGTGTACGGCACCAAAGCAAACTCAAGCCGAAATCATCTGCGAGTCTGCCAGTTTCACTGTGGACTGCGACCAACAAGGAGCGCTTTCGGAGCTTCAGTTCAGCCTAGATCGAGCGAGAGTGCAAATGACATGCTCAGTGTCTTGTGGAACAATTGTAACAACCTTTGAAGTAGGAGGCATTCTCAGATTCACACAAACAGCTCATGGCATGATGACACAATGGCTGTCTGGAAACGGAGACCGAGCAGCAGAAACTCAGTGGCCAGATTTTTGGCACATCGCGGAAGTCTTCCTGCAGTGGTACAAAACGCTGATAGTAGCAGTAATCGCGCTACTAATCGTTTTGGGAATCACCTACGCTTGTTTTTCACTGCAAGGAGTGTGTTGTGGATTCCGCTTTCTTAAAGGAATTATGCTGCTCATACTACTGTTTTTTCGTCTCCTATGCCGACCTTTCTGCCTATTGCAGTCAGAAATCAAAGAAAGGCTCCATGAGAAACTTCTGTAAAATTGTGCATTTCTACTCTCGGGAAAAAGCAGCTTATTCAACTTATTCTCATCGTACGGCACAGATCACAGAAATTCACATCGAACAGGTTAAACATTGCACGAATCATTTTCATTCCAGACAGGACATGGAACAAGGACGTTACGAACAATATCAAGAGGAAATCAACAGCCTGCGTTCAAGAATGTCGGATACTGCTGAGGACCTTGAACAAGAGATTGCCGAGCTCATGACGAAGATGAGAGCGAAAACCGATGAAGTAGCGAACTTCATTTCACAGTGCAGGATCTTCAGGTTCAGGAAAAGTCAAAATCCCGGCTCGCGACTTCAAAGGCTCATGGATTACCAAGAAATGCTCAATACGGGAAGAGAGCTGCAGGAAGACGTTGTTCGCATAACAACGAACTTTTGCCACATCTCGGATATTTACAAGATCAAGGCCGAAGCAGGACTGGTATCTCGGGGAAGATGGCAAGCATGGCAGGTGCTCGAGATGGAGCGGGATCCCTTGAGCAAGCACACGATGAGTGAGGTCGCCACTCAGAACGTGAGCAGCGTCGAAGTAGTCCTCAACCAGGTTAGGGACTACATCTCCGACCTAATCGAGATGATGGAGAAGGACGAAGAAGAGCTACAAGAGCGGCAGCAACGCGACCCAGAACCACGCACGTTTGAAGCCCCTCAACCGCCGGAAGAAGAAACTACGCATCCCGGACCGAGTCGGAGCAGAAATGGAGATGAAGCAGGAGCAGGGCAGCCGGCCGAGAAAAGAAGACGCCAACAAGCAGAAGATGAGGAAGAGGACGAAGGAAACGATTGATGGAGAAGAACGATCACCAAGCAGGCCCGGAGTGTCGAGAAACTCGACCGATAAATTCTATAATTTCTGTTACGATTATTGACTTTTGATTGCCATGAAATGTTGAGTGCGCGGCCAGTCCTTTCTTTGTACGGCTGCAGCTGCGCCAAGCATCTAGCAAAAAAGGATGGTCGTCGCAGCTGGCGACCTCCTCTTCGCATTCTTGACTTAAGTGTCATTTAGTTATCATCGTTTCAGCTCATTTAGCCGTGCCTTATAGTTACTCTCACTTACATTGCCTTTATTTGCTTTCAGCTCAGTTAGACTAAAACATATCAATCATTTTATGCCTAACGTGTGCCATAATCAGAATCTCATAAAATGCTGGTAGTATATTCGCTTGAAATATCGTTTGTTTAATGTTTATATTTGTCGATAAAGGTTTAA